CTGCGACCAAGTGTAATCGCAGACCGGGAATGCAGTAACAGGCAAGTTATATTATCAACCCGGGGTCTAGATCTACTGCTTACTCAGTGATTCTCTGTTATCTAGCCAACTAGAGTAAGTGATTGTTGTTTAAACTAAAAGCAGAAATAAAGCAGGAAATTATTCGGTTTTCTTAAGCAGGAAAGAGTCACTCGGGAATGAATCCCCCTAGCTCCTTAGTTAGGTTCAATTCCAATTCCCTGGGTTGATTTACTGTTGATTAGACTGCGGAAGATCCGACAGTAGCTTGGAATCTCTTAAGCTGACCAAGCCCTCTCAGTCTAACTACCCGGCAGACGACTAGTCTTCACCGGGATAGAAAGCTGAGGCTATGAACACAGAACTCCACTACTGGCGCCAAGAACACCAGTACAAAGCAGTAAACTGGCTAACTCTCGTATAGCCAACCTCCTACTATCGAATGAAGAGGCTCTAACAACCTAATCAGATTCTGTCTATCTCAGGTTGAAGCAGAAATTGAGACAAGCTGATCAGACTCAAATCAATTCATGAAACATGCATCATTCGATTAAAATCAAACAGTAGTATCATCCCAAGTCATTACAATCAATCCCTAACACATAGAACTAGGGTTCTTCATCCCCAAGTGAGAGAAGGGTTCTACTCCATAGAGAGAGAAGAGAAAACAAGAGTCGGATTAGTCATACTCATAACGATGAGGATAATCTGCTCCGGGACGATGATTTTCACTCCTATGACAATCTCCAGGCTCGATTTGATGAAATCCAGCTCTAAGACAGCTTCTAGGATGTGTTCTTCGTACTTTCTCTCTCTAGGGCTCTGTTTTTGCTCTGAAAACACTATTCTCTCACTTCTGGCTCGGATTAGGCTTTAAAACCGGGTTTCCCGAGTTGCACGGCCAGGGTGCACGGCCGTGCACCTCACCATTCTGGCCGTGCACCATGAAACGCAGCGTATCCCTTAAGTCGAACTCAGGCTTCTTGCACGGCCAGGTGCACGGCCGTGCAATCTTCAGGGCCTGCCCGTGCAGCTCCTCGGTATGAGGCGCACGGCCAGCTTGCAACCGTGCACGGCCGTGCAGCCCCTCTGGTCTGCCCGTGCAGCTCCCAAAAACCTCGCCACTCGTCCGTTCTTCGTCCAATCGACCCCAGACTCGCTCCTAAGCCTTCATTCACGTACTAGGACCTGAAATATCACAAACAAGCACAACCTAGCGTGAAATCGGCCTAAAACACGAGAATCAACACCTCAAACGGTGTAAGGACGGGGGTAAAAACATGTGTAAATGACGGTCTATCAAACTCCCCCACACTTAACCGTTTGCTTGTCCCCAAGCAAACCAAGTCAGACACTAGGTAAGCTTACACATTTCAATCAACCAACATTGGGGACAAGTCATAAAGGCACAGAACACGTGAATCGCACTGGTTTTCAAACATCAATACATGCACAACCTCAATAACAACCTGGACAACCACCACAAAGGACATTCGAGTGCAGCAAATCGAGTAAAGGAGGAGTCTCCCTTCTGTTCACTGGCCAACCTAGACTTGATTCAACCACTTACTCAAAACAGTCAACTCATGCATCCAACTCAAGACATCAGAATAGAGACCGAGCAATCTAGGTCCTCACCGGGGTACAAGAGCATATAGAAAATGAAAATGAATCACTCACTCTCGACCAGTGGGGTCAGGACAATTTGATGCGAAAGATGCGCATGCTATTTCTCTCAATCCCTATCATCTCTTCACCATGATGGCAGCCTCTAAATGCTAGAGTTCACATATGGGGTGTCACCACTAACTGATCAGGAGGTCTTAGACACAGGTTCAAATGACTGGCTAGGGTCTTGGACATGGGGAAAAGGCCTTTTAGGTGGTGGAAGTATTCATAGCAAAAGGTTCCACATTTCCCGAACACACAAACACAGTCAGCAACCCGGTATTTTCTTTCTGCTATCCTGCATTACTCAATATCTTAAGAGCACAAGAGCGAAGGAGGCATAAACATCAGCATTTCCAAGCCCGACTGCTAAGAAACACTACTTACTGGGCATTATTCAGATTTTTAGTAGTGGCTCTCTTTTGCTTCCAATTTTTCTTTGTTCTTCTTTTATTTTTCTTTTCATTTCTTAAGAGAGCCACCACTCCTGCACATATTTCAAACATCCGCCCAACTTTTAAGCACTACCTCCAACACTCACATAGACTTTAGCAGAAACAGCAGAGAATATATAAAAAACCACTCTGTGGAACCTTCTAAAAGATGCAACAAGGGTGATTTCTTTTCATTATAGACCAAAAGAAAGGATAACACACGGCTCAAAGGGGCTGACTAGGGGATATGACACATCAGGACAGTCAGTTTTGGGCGTGGGCTAATCCTATGCCCCCATCATCTCAGCTAGTGACAACGTGAATGCTACACATCATGGAAGAGGGATCTATCGCACAAGAAAGAAACGAGCAGGCTCAAATCTCACATGGCTACCTATATGCTCTATCTCATATTCTGCTACCATGAACTAGATGCATAAACGACTGTTAAGAACAAGTAATCAGATCAAGTCAGATCAAGTCACAGTTGGCAAGCAAACAGTTGAAAAACTGAACCCCTACATCGTTCTACTGCACATCTCAGTCCTCATCATAGGTTGTCCTAGTCGCAAACAAGTTGTCATGCATTAATCCGAAAACCAATCAATTCATCCATCAAAACACAGTGCCAATATGATCAAACAGCAGTACTTGGAGCCCTCAAATCGTAAGATTCGGACAGCGGACTAGGCTCCAAGCACCATCATACATATTCCAACCGATACAAAGCATCCCCCCACACTTAAGAACGACATTGCCCTCAATGGAGCAGAGGGAAAGATAAGGGGAACGATGTTACCGGGTAGGAACACTGCTGGGGGACTGGAAGTGGACCAGTCAGCGAGAAACGAACGGGGGAGTGGACAATGCTGCACAAATCGAACATCAGAAACACACTAGCACACTGTGCGTTAGGGATAAGTGTTAGCCCAGACGGCTACATCAAACCACAAAGGAAAAACCAAAAACAAAAACAAACGGCTACATCAAGCTCCGCACACATGGAGCAAACACACAAAAGTCTAAAATGAAAAAGAAAACACACTGAGACGGGCAACGAGTACAGCCTACTCGTCGCCAAGATCGTCGAGGTCGATGTCGTTCATGAACGTGGCATCATCCGCAGCGCCAGTAGCACCGTCATGTGGAGGGGAGTCATCCCAGGGAGTCCTCCAGACAGGTGGCTCGCCCGGGAGCAGCTGGAGCAGGTGCTGCTGGACCTCCTGCATGCGCCGGGAACGGCGCTTCTCCCGCTCGATGTGGGCAAGAGTCACGCCCTGCTGGGTCTGGAGCTGGTCCAATCTCTCGTCGTAACTCGCCATCCTCTGGTGGTACTCGGCCTGGTGAGCCGCGTACTGCTGCTGGAACTGCAGCTGATGGTCGATGATCTGCTGGTTCTGGAGACGCAGCTGCTCGAACTGGGAAGTGAAGTAATCCTGCCCCGGGAAACTGGAGCTGCTACCCCCGAAATGGAAGTCAGTCTGTGGGGGATTATCAGCAGCATCAGCAGCAGCATCCACCTCCTCGGGATCCACCTCATCGGCAGCCTCCTCCGCCTCTGGTACGGGCTCCGCGGGGATCGGAGGCTCCGGAAACCCATCGACCCATTGAACACCGTTCCTCTCCCGCAACAGCAGCATCTTCCTGATCGTCGTGCGGCCAAAGATGAGGGTGTCCCCCTCCTCGGTGCACCCCTGCAGTGAAAGGCCAAAGAAGGTGGCCAGGCGGGTGATGAGGGGGGCGCAGTGGAGGCTCTTCAGCTCTGTGGCCGTCTTCTCGAAGGTCTTGGCCACCACTGAACCCAGGTGGAGAGGATGGCGGCGCTGGCGGATCGAATGGAGGAAGTACAGGGACCTCTTCGTGATGGCGCCGGCGCTGTCAGCTGCAGGAGTGTAAGACTTCGTCAGCAGGTGGTGGAGAAGTCGGTTGTCGATCTGCAGGGTAGAGGCCTTCGTCCTCCCTGACCGGAAGGGACGCGTCTGGCCTGGCCGAGCCAGGCTGGTGTACAGCCTCCCGAAGTCCACCGCCGGTGGCTCATTCACCTCGGTGACGTAGTCCTCACGGTCGTCGAGGTCGAGGTCGAGAGCCTCGGCCAGCTCGTGGTAGCTCAAGGACCGGGGGACCCCGCCCAGCCTGAATTGGACGGCCGTACCATCCTGCCAGTTGTCCGTGGTATTGTGCTTGAAGGTCGTGTAGAACTCCCACACCGGCTCGTAGTAGACCTTCTCGCAGAGCTGGAGCAGACGGCGCCAGGCGGTGTTGGCGACCGCGGCGGAGAGCTGCTCGTAGCAGTGCAATCGCCGAAACTCCCGTTTGGACCAGCAATGGTGTGACCCAAACGGGGTTTCCGCGACCTCCTTGAAGCGCTCTGCGGTGGGTCCCCTCCTCAGATCCCGGATGAACGGGTGCTGGAAATTAGGTTTCGCCATTGCCCTGCAAAACAACAACCCAAAGTGGAACCCAAAAGAGCCAAAGAAAAAGGTCAAGCGCACCCCCACACTTAAGAACAGAATACAGCCTAGCCATGGTTTCATCCATAGTTCGGGGGTCAAAATCTCGATAAATCAAGCAGAATCAGGGTGGGGGTGCACATTCACAAGAAAATAGGCAACTCAAGGTTCACATCCATAGCAAATACACTCTCAAACTACATCATTAAGGGCCCCAACCGGTGGCCACAACAGGGCATGGAAAACAGGCATTTCAGCGAACACCTTGTGTGCACTACTAAGTTAAACATGAAATTGGCTAAATTCTTGCACACAAGGGCTTAAACAATCAAAGGGGACTTTGCCCAACATAATTCAATCACATCCCATGCATTCCCCTCAATCAATTTCATAAGATTCATATGATTCAATTAGGTTCTCTAACATACACCCTACACACTCAATTCTCCACAATTAACATAGTTAGGGGCAAAATCAAACCTGGAGACTCAAGTAGAGGTGTAGGGAATGATGAGGGGAAGACAATGGAAGTGACGAAACGCCGAAAAACTGGCCGGAAATGCTCGTCGGAGTCTCGCCGGAGTCTCGCCGGTAATCGCCTCCGGCGACGAAAACGTTGCCCAAACTCGCTCAAAATCGAGGGATAGGCCGCTTTGGGTGTAGAAAGAGTGGGTTTGTAGTTGGTTTGGTGAAAAAAATTACCCAAAGTGGCCGAAAAAATCGAAAAAATGTGGGTTTTGCGCGGTTTTCTGGCGAGGGCAGAGGATTCCGGCGAGTGGTTTTTGTTTGCTGACCACAATGGCCGTGCAGGCCATATAAATAGGCCGTGCCTCGGCTGCACGGGCAGGGGCGCACGGCCGTGCAATGCTGGTTTTGGCCCGTGCAGCCGACACGGCCTGGCCGAGGAGAGGCGCACGACCGTGCCGCTGGCACATATGGCCGTGCCATCCTTACCGAGAGCTCGCACGGCCAAGGGGGGATACCCGCACGGCCATGCGAGGCATCATGGTGCCCGTGCAAGACGCACGGTCAGGCCAGGACGAGCGCACGGCCGTGCAATAAGCGCTTTTGGCCGTGCGCTTTTGGCCGAGAGCTCGCACGGCCAAGGGGGGTTCCCGCACGGCCGTGCAAGTTGTGGTCCTGGCCGTGCGACTTGTTGGAGTCCCGAAATCAACCTGTTTTCGCTCAAAAACGACACGTAACTCTGGATCAACGTCTCAAGACTCAAAAACACACATAATTAAAGGAAAAAGAGTAAGAAAATGCAAACCTCGGTGGGGTTGCCTCCCCACAAGCGCTTCTTTACCGTCTTTTAGCTGGACGCCAGTAGAGGAACTAAGGGTCCTCGAGCTTGATCAGCAGCTCTGCGCGCTCGACAGCACCTCCCAAATACAACTTTAGGAGGTGGCCATTCACCTTGAATGGCTCGGTTTGAGCATTGCTGATCTCCACCGCACCGTGCGGGAAAACTTGGGTGACCGTGAAGGGACCCGACCACCTCGAACGGAGCTTACCCGGGAAGAGTTTCAGGCGTGCATTGAAAAGCAGAACACGATCACCTACCTGAAACTCTTTCGGGCCCCTTAACCGAGCGTCATGGAGACGCTTGGTGCGCTCCTTGTAGAGCAGGGTGTTCTCGTAGGCGTGGTAACGCCACTCCTCCAACTCCAGCAGCTGCAACTTACGTTCTGTACCTGCAACACTCAAATCCATGTTTAGCAGCTTAATGGCCCAGAAGGCCTTGTGCTCTAGCTCTACCGGCAAATGACACGCCTTCCCATAGACAAGCCTATAGGGAGAAGTGCCAATCGGATTTTTATAGGCAGTCCTATACGCCCAAAGAGCATCATCGAGCTTGGTGGACCAATCCTTGCGAGACTGATCCACCGTCTTTTCAATAATTCGTTTAAGCTCCCGGTTCGTCAGCTCGGCCTGCCCATTTGACTGGGGATGGTAGGCCACCGACACCTGATGCTTGACACCATAGCGAGAGAGGAGTTTAGTGAATTGCCCTTGAAAATGGGTTCCTCTATCACTAATGATGGCGCGGGGTGTCCCGAACCGGGAGAACAGCTGCTTCAGAAATGAGCAGACCCGTCTTGCATCATTGGTGGGCATGGCCTGAGCTTCTGCCCACCTCGAGACGTAGTCTACTGCGACCAAAATGTACAGATTGCCAAAAGATGGAGGGAATGGGCCCATGAAATCGATACCCCAAACATCAAAAATTTCACAGATAACAGAGATATGTTGGGGCATCTCATCCCGGGACGAAATGTTACCTGACCTCTGGCAGCGGTCGCACTGGCGTGCGAAGGAGTCTGCATCCTTGAAGAGCGAGGGCCAATAGAAGCCCGACTGTAGCACCTTCCGCGCCGTGCGGTTTCCTCCATGGTGACCTCCAGTAGGTCCCTCGTGGCATTGAGACAGGATGTCTCCCATCTCGTGCTCCATGACACAGCGCCGGATCACGCCATCTGCTCCGATTCTGAAGAGGAAAGGATCCTCCCAGAAGTAGTGCTTCAGATCGGAGAAGAACTTGCGCTTTGCATGTGTAGCCATCCCCTTGGGTAACTGCTTGCCCACCAGATAATTGGCAAAGTCAGAATACCAAGGGGTCACGCTGTCCACCAGTGTCATCGCCAGCAATCGCTCACCCGGGAAAGAGTCGTCGATCTCCTCCACGAAGTTGTCCACCGGAGAGGCTTCCAACCGTGAAAGATGATCTGCAGCAACATTTTCGGCTCCTTTCTTGTCCCGGATCTCGATGTCGAATTCCTGCAGAAGCAGGATCCAGCGGATGAGCCGAGGCTTTGCATCAGCCTTGCTCATCAAGTAGCGAATCGCCGAGTGATCTGTGTAGACCACCACATGTGAGAGCACCAGGTATGGCCGGAACTTGTCAAACGCATACACCACAGCAAGGAGCTCCTTCTCAGTGGTAGTGTAGTTCTCCTGTGCATCGTTCAAGGTCTTCGACGCGTAGTAGATGGGCTGGAAGTGCTTCTCGCGTCTCTGACCCAGAACTGCTCCGACTGCATAGTCACTCGCATCGCACATCAGCTCAAAAGGGAGAGACCAGTCAGGAGTTACCATGATAGGGGCATGGGTAAGCTTCTCCTTCAGAGTCTCAAATGCAGCTGTGCACTCGGGAGTGAACTGGAATGGCGCATCCTTCTCCAGCAGCTTGGTCAACGGCAGGGCAATCTTCGAGAAATCTTTGATGAAGCGCCGGTAAAAGCCTGCATGACCCAGAAAGCTGCGAATCCCCTTCACAGAAACGGGAGGAGGTAGCTGACTGATCGTCTCAATCTTCGCGCGATCTACCTCAATCCCCTCCTTGGAGATCTTGTGCCCGAGCACGATGCCCTCACGAACCATGAAATGGCACTTCTCCCAGCTGAGTGCCAGATTAGTCTCCTCGCACCTCTTCAGAACGAGTTCCAGGTTATGGAGACAGTGAGTGAAGGAGTCTCCATATACCGAGAAATCATCCATGAAGACTTCCATGATCTCTCCAACCAGGCGGTCGAAGATAGCCAGCATGCATCTCTGGAAGGTCGCCGGTGCGTTACACAGCCCAAATGGAATCCTCCGGTAAGCAAAAGTGCCGAAGGGGCAAGTGAATGTGGTCTTCTCCTGATCCTCCGGTGCAATAGGAATCTGGAAGTACCCAGACATGCCATCCAGGAAGCAATAGAACTCATGGCCCGCCAACCTCTCCAGCATCTGATCAATGAAAGGTAGGGGAAAATGATCTTTCCTGGTGGCGTCGTTCAGGCGCCGGTAATCGATGCAGACTCTCCAGCCGGTCACGGTCCGCGTCGGGATCAACTCCTTCTTCTCGTTCGGGACCACAGTCATCCCGCCTTTCTTCGGTACCACCTGAGTGGGGCTGACCCACTTGCTATCCGATATAGCAAAGATGATCCCTGCATCCATGAGCTTCACGATCTCTGCCCGGACCATTGCCTCCAAGTTAGGAGACAATCTCCTCTGCGGCTGCCTGATTGGCTTAACCTCATCCTCCATCAAGATTCTGTGAGAGCAGAAGGATGGGCTAATGCCTCTGATGTCAGTGATCTTCCATGCCATGGCCCGGGCATACTTCTGCAACAGAGCCACCAGCCTGCTCCTCTGCTCGGGGGTCAGATCCGAGCTAATAATAACCGGGAGCTTATTCCCCTCCCGGAGAAATGCATACTCCAGATGAGATGGGAGGGGTTTCAGCTCCAACTCTGGCGGCTCCTCCAATGATGTAGCGAGCCGGGGCGAGATGGGAATCGGCTTGAATGGCATCTCTCGCCCCGCGCTCGCAGCTTCGTCCAGCTCCGCAAGCTGCTCCGTCAGCTGCATATCCTGTGATGCCTGTTCCCCTAGCAAAAGACAACGCTCAAGGAAATCATCAGTACCCGCACTCGTGATGGCGAGTGCGGTCTCAAAATCAGCAACAACATCACAGTAATCAAGATCATCATGGAGCTGGGGGTGTTTCATATTATCAGAAACAGAGAAGGTGATTTGTTCACCCCCAGCTCTTAAAATCAGCTTTCCATCATTAACATCAATCAGCGCCTTGGCGGTGGCGAGAAAAGGTCTGCCTAGTATCAATGGCACATCAACATCCTCATTTATGTCCAAAATCACAAAATCAACAGGATATGAAAATGGCCCTACTGCGACTATCAAGTCCTCTGCTATACCCCTAGGATGCACAATAGATCTATCAGCAAGCTGGATGCTCATCCTAGTATTACTGGGTTCACCTAGGCCTAGCTTTTTAAACAGTTTATAAGGCATGACATTTATGCTAGCGCCTAAATCCGCCAAGGACTTCCCTACATGCAAACTACCAATCTTGCAAGGGATAGTGAAACTCCCTGGGTCTTTTCGTTTCTCTGGTAGTTTGTTCTGCAGGATGGCAGAACACTCCTCGTTGAGCATCACCGTTGACAGCTCCCCAAGCTTCCTCTTGTTGGTGAGGAGATCCTTCATGAATTTGGCATACTTGGGCATCTTCGATAATGCCTCCACGAAGGGCATGCTAATGTTCACCTGCTTCAGCATTGCCATGAATTTGGCAAACTCAGTCTCCAGTCGGTCCTTGTGCAACCGAGTAGGAAAGGGAAGCTGTGGTACATACTCCTTCACCACTGATTGCGGTTTAGGAGCAGGTACCTCAACCTCCTTCTCCATTTCTTCCTGATTAACTGGAAGTGCTGAGGCAGGGGTCTCTCTCTCCTCTGCCCGAACAGGCGGATCGGCAGTCACCTTGCCACTCCTGGTTGTGATGGCACTGCAGTTGGCATTTGGATCCTGCGGATGAGGAATGGTCTGACCAGGCAAGGTACCAGGAGTCCTCTGAGCTACAGCCTGGGCAACACTCCCTAGCTGGGTCTATATATCCCGCAGCACAGCCTGTGTATTTCTCTGACCAGCTTCTAGCTCCAAGAACTTCCCTGAAGCTTTCTCCATGAATTGCTCGATGTTGTTGAACTTGTTCGCACTGGAGGTGGCCAGAGAACCCACCAAATCTCTCAATTCCGCCATCGGGTCACTCTGTACTGGAGCTGCAGGTGCTGCTCCTGTCTGCTGAAATGGTCGCACCTGCGACTGTGGTGGAGCTGGCCCCTGTCTGGGCTGGTAGAGTGGCTGCTGTGGCTGCTGAAATTGCCCCTGTCTGGGCTGGTATGGAGGCCTCTGGAAGCCAGGTGGTCCCTGGGGAGCTGGTGGTTTGGGATTTGCCCCAGCCCAGGAAAAGTTAGGATGCTGGCGCCACCCCTCGTTATAAGTGTTGCTGTAGGGGTCGAAGCGCCTGGCATTACTGATAAAGTCCACCTGCTCCTGGGGAGTAGACGATTCCCTCATCGCCTGACAGTCCTCTACGGTGTGATGGGAGCTCTCACACCACTGGCAGTGCATCACCTGCGGCTGTCCTGTACCTGCAATCAAACCAGAACGATCGATAGCTGAAACCAGCTTCGATACCACCTGCACCAAATCAGATGACTGGGTGCCCACAGCATGCACACCCCGGCCTGGTGCTCGCCTCGATCTCCTGGCAGTGCCCCAGTCGTACCCGTTCTCCGCCATCTCCTCAAAGAGTTGATTCAGTTGTGGTGGGGTTTTTGTCAGCATGTTCCCGCCACAAACCGAATCAATCAGCTGCTTGTCCTCCGGGAAGAGAGCGTGATAGAAGGTGCCCACCTTAAATGCATCATTGAAACCATGATTGGGACACCTGAGGAAAAGACTGGTGTATCTCTCCCAAGCATC